GAAAATTAACTCTATCCCAGCCGAAACCAGGACAAGTCTGAATCCATTTTCAATTCCTACCACCTCTGATTCTTTCCCCACCTCTGCCCCACACACAAAAATAGACCTTGTTACTAAAACAGGAATTTTTTTTAAGCTCTTTTAGTTCTAATTGGTAATGCTGCTGCCATGACACTCACATCATTTAAAGTTTGTTATGCTCCCATGTGTTGAACACATGGCTAGCAGCTCTTCCAACCATCAGGATTCATGCAATCACAGCAAAGCAGTTAGCATCATAAATAAACCAAACATGAACTGATACTACATACTCCCTTCTCATCATGAATTAGGATGATGAACCGGAATTCAATGTCAGTCTTAACCTAACGGCAAAAGGCTTGAGTGTGGTAGACCCGAACCATGTATGTACCCGGGAAATAATTGATTTAACCCTTTCATTGTCTCCTATTTGGAAATGTTGACTTAGGACCCAGTCTTGCGCCTATCAGCCATATTTGTGGTTCATGGGGCCCTTCATGATGGCAATTGCACCCTCTTCTTCTACATTTCCTTTTAGTTTTTATTTAGGTTATATCTAAGTAGGTCATTGTCAGTGGCTGAGCACTTCAAGGGAGCTTGTCGTCTTTGCTCGTGGCTGGAGTCTGCCTTTGGCTGTAGGCACCGCAAACAGGTGTCCCTTAAGGACACAGTAATTCTGTATTTTAAAAGAAGACTTATTATTTGAGATAATTCCTGAACATGATGCTTATTTAAGAGTACTGAAGCTAATGGCATGACTTCAAACAAAACTGAATTTTTAAGTGTATGCATATGTATACATGTGGCAATGGATTCGATATGTTGTTTGGTTTTTGTTGCTGTTGTCTTTTCTTTAAGGTATATCAGATTGCCATCCTTTTTGTATAAAGCACAGTGGAAATACAATTCAATCTAATTGTGACCTCCACTAGCCTGAAACCTTGGATTCAGATGTCTCAAAATTGTAGGTATTGTCCTCTGATTCCCTGATAGCCTTGATGGCTTCTGACTTGGATGGAGAGGTACCTTAAATCTTACCTTTAGCGCACTTAGCTATTAAAACAGTCAACACACTCATCTCCCCTGTGGGTCACGTGAAACTGTACTTTCCTTGTACATTGTAAATTTTTGTGTTGTCACGGTAGCATCTTCTGAATCTGCCTACCTTCCCTTTCTCCTTCCATAAATCTGAGTCTGTGACTTTGAAAAGTTATCTTTGAACTCCTTGACTTAATGATCCAGACATTCCAGACTTGCATGTAAAAAAGAAGTACTCGCATAAAAATTAATTCACAAGTGTTACAACATTACAAGTGAGGTAAGAGTTGGTTTAGTGAGCTTACCAGCAAAAAGGCCAGAAGATTCCAAGTTTGTTTTGGGTTGGTGTTGTTATGGGCTTTTTCCCAACAAATTTAAATGTTTCAAAAATTAGTTTTTGTACAGCATGAAAATGAAAACAAAGCCTTTTCAACACTTTCACACAGCTACTGGTTAGAGGCCTGATTTGAGGGCTTGGACTAAAGTCTCCTCTTCATCATCAAAAAATACTTTTCTTCATCCCCAACTCCTGACATTTGGAAACAAAGGGGCTTGAATTTTACTTTGTCCACAACAAAGCCCAAAACCTAACTGACTCGGTAGTCATCTTTCTGCCTGTGTCCTTCCTCAGTTTAACAGATGAAGATACACTTCATCATATTTTGATAAAATAAGCTTCAGATCAGCTTTACTTACAGTCCTGTTAAGTGACTCTTGGGACTCCGACATCACATTCCCAGGAACTACTTCCAAGTTTCTTTGGTTTGCTCATGAGTTGCTGAATAGATTAGCAGCATGGTTTTGTTAGATGAATGCAAACGTGCCAATAAAAAGGAGCATATAGCTAGTTCCCCTTCTAAATAATTCACTAAGCATTTTTATATTACTTTCTTCTGTGGGTTAACATCTTTATATTCTTTACTACTGAGTTTATTATAAGACTATATTATATTTTAAGTAGTGTATGTTAGCATGTGCGTGTGTGTCTGTGTGTATACACACACACATGCACCCCCAGAGTAAGGTTTGCATCACAAATCAAATACTATAATCTGCTCAGTTACACAGTGCTTTTTTTAAACTAGGGTCATAAATATTTCTTTACCAGACAAAAGCAACATTGCGTGACAATACACTTTATTTTGTATAGCTTCTTTCCAAGCACATTGTGTCTGAAATATTTTAGAGGTAATTAACACACTTGCAGTTTTTAAAATAATCTAAAAAGGTTTTCATTTAATGAAAAGTCTAAACAATAGCAATATACGCGCTCCTTAATTCGCATGCATCATAAATGTAAAAGGGTGATGAGACCTGTAAGAGCTGAGCAGCTATTTACATTCTTGTAAATACTGGTTTGGTGGAGTGAGCTCTTAGTGAGGGGGATAGTTAGTATCTTTGTTCATTGGTTCTGAAAGACCAGCACTGTGATGATTCTTTTACATATACATGTTTGGACTGTTGTTGGAGCAGTAGGAGGAACAACTTTTTTTGTTTGGTTTTTTTGTTGTTTTTTAATTAATGTGGGACTACCAATCCCAGTACAGAAAGGCAGCTCTACTATGAAACTGAAATTAGAGTAATTAATCTCATCATCATGGTGTAATAGCTATAATGGATTAAAATTTCACAATAGTGCTGTTGAGTCTTCCTGGTGAAACACTCAAGCTGCCTGATGGACTCAGCAGATGGCTGCTCACCACCACACATTTGATTTCTTCCAGCAGACAGTTCCTGTAAGATGCATCACTGCGTTGTGCAGTGTAAAGGTTTTTTTTTCCTTGCATTTAAAGACAAAAACATCTCTGAATTGTGTAATTTTTCCTTCGCCTGCTCTGTGCGGATCTCTCATAGGCAGAAAGGCAGCTCCTCAGGCCCCACCAGGGACTGGTGATCCCACCGGGGATCCCTGTTCTGGTCAGTTTGCAGTGCCAGGTTATCACATCCCCAAGCAGCGGGTGTAGTGAGCTGACGTGCTTCAAGCAATCAGATGTGAGGTTTCTGATACTATTAAGCAAACAATACTTCTTTGCTGCTCCCTTTTTAAGCCCCCCATTTACTGTACACACCACGTTTTATTATGTGCTGTTCCTTACTAAGAGCTTAAAAATGAAATAAATCACCTTCACAGTTGCTTCATTTCTGTGATTAAAATGGATTTTACTGGAGCTAATAAGGACAGAATGTAGTTCAGATTACTTTAAAAGTATTGATAAGACAGTTGAGTACGTGAAGAAACACCAGTGCCTTAGGAATGGAAATCTAGCCTCTGACCAACTGGAAGCCTTGCGGCAGCGCCAGCAGTTGGTTGTGGGGCTAGGTGGGAGGAATGACCATTTCACGTACTCTGGGCCACTGGGCATCAGTGGGTTCTGATTCATGCCGTGATATATAGCTTCTTCTGGTTTTGGAGACAACCTTTGCAACTCTGCAACTCTCAATACCTGTGTGAAGACTAAGCAGGAGTGCAGATAATTGATTGGTTTAGAGTGGACTTGGTAGTGTAGGTTAATGGTTGGACTGGATGATCTTAAAGGTCTTTTCCAACCTAAACGATTCCATGATTCTATAAAAAGAGTAAGCTTAAGAAGCAGAGAATACAGGTGGTTCGCTTGTGTGAACAGCTGGATTACTCCCATCCCATTCCCGGCACCAGAAATGGAAGGAGCTCTGCAATTCACACAAAGTCCTCAATTTCGTGTCACATGTGAGTATAAACTCCACTGCATTACATACTGTTTAGTTTTCTCTTCCAGAATTTTGTTAAAGAGGAAATATGATGAAAGACATGATGGTTCAGCCCAGAATGTTACAGAGTTTTGCAATCTGCTCATAAATGACGTGAGAGGACCGACTGTCTGCATACATAATTTATTACAAATTACTAAATGCTGGGATAGAAAAAGTAAATGCCATACACAATCATGTTTGTGCCACCCTGTTAACTTTCATTTATGTAGCTAGGACCTTTACTTTCTGTTAGTTTCTTATCTGTTTTTTCTAAGGGGTCATCATTATTTTACTGTGTCTTTCTGAAGAATGGGGAAGGAATCTACAATTTTTTTGCATAGATTTGAAGTTCAAAGCTGTGAAGTAATGCTGTTTTCCATAATTCCAATGCCCCACGCACATGGCTTGAAATATTTCAGAGGCACCCTGAAAATAACAAAATTTTAGGTAATTTTATATTCTCATCTTTCAGAAAGGGAGAACTCAGTTTTCTGGAATATAAAGTTCGTCAGTCTCCTAGGGGTAAAAAGGCAATTTAAGCTTCCCGGAGTAACTTCAAGAGTAGTGATAGCTGCCAATGTTACTAGAGTATCATAGTTTTTCAGATGATCATCAACTGTAATGACCTTCATATCGTGGATTTAGATTCAGAGGATGTTGGCACAACCTTATTAACACAAATATCTCCATCTTCACTTATAATATCCCAGGAACGCATAATTTAAGACCGTTATAACGTGCAAATGCCACTGTAACTAAGACAAAGAACAGCGGGGGAGCTTAATTTCCACACAACAGTACCACTGATAAGGAAGAAAGACATGCAAGTGTTCAGGAAAGTTGTGGACATAGAACGATTAAAACTAACTGAAAAATATTCCAGTGGATAAGAGTCAAAAAGCAGTTCTTTAATTTTTAAATTTGCACAGCAATAACAGAGACAAATGAGCCTCTGACATATTTTGGAAAATGTCACTTTGCAAACCTTGTAGATTGCTTAAATGTTTATTAAAATGGACCAAAAGCCAAAATTCTCTGGGTAAAATAAATACTTTGTCTTTGCTAAGTAACAATATTTGTGAACAAAACATAAAACTATAATTTTCATGTGTCAAACATAGTAACATTTAAGATTAAATGCTGGAGTCAGACCAGGCATTTTTTTACATCTTCCTATTTACAAGCTGCTCATTAAGACCATTTACCTCACGTTAGCTATTAAAATGACTAACATTTTCAAAGTTTGCTCCATGACTAAAATAAAAACAACAGAAATGTCCTTTTACCATAACTTAACAAAAAGCAGAACCATATTTTTGTTATCTAGGAGAACATACTGTTACAAATACAGCTGTTTTTCATCTACAATTATATAAATAATAAACATGCTGCCATTCACAAGGATTTTAATAGATGATTATATATAAGCAATATTGTGATCTAGCAGAGGATGGCATGAGTTTTCATCATTCATTTTTATTGTACTTATTCAGGACCCTTGTCCTCATCTGAAAAATGTGGAACAGACTTCTTTGCTACAACATTATCCAGTCGTTGTCCTTGCAGATATGGGTTCACACTCTGAAAAAGTTTAAAATTATTTATACTTATTAGAACAGGGAAACATAGAAAAGGTAACTGGGATTAGTGGATATTCTTATGTATTTCTTACCTGTCAAATACTTGAGACAAAAAAAAAAAAAAATTGCTCCTAGGGAGTAAATCTAAAAGTCAATCAATGTTTTGTTTTCTAATTTTTTAGGTGCAAGAGTTTAATCCAATCCACCAGAAAGAATGCAAGTGAAGGAGGACTATCAAGAATATAGGACAGTCTGAATTAAACAGTGCCTTTTTGCTCCACTCCTCAGCTCAGCAGAGAAGCAGCAGCAGATCTAACTCCCTAATTCTTGAGGCAGGACAGAACTTGTTAGAGAAGTACAGGTAAGCTTTAGCTTAAATCACTAGCCTCGGATGGACCTTATGCTGGGAGACAAGTTAGATACCACGATACCATTTTTGACCCAAGTCTCTTCTTCAGCCCATCTCCTCTCCAGGAAACCCCTCCTTGCTTCCTCTCTTGATGTTGAGATGAAAAACTGCTGGCACAGAAGCAGAGCCAAGCAAGGTTTTGGCATAGGAAATGGCCAGAACAAGGGAGAGCTGGAAAGAAGATCCCTGGAGAGGGTTTAACTTCACTTTGCACCATGTAAGCAGCACAATGTGAGACTGAAGATGAACAGATCCTGTCTCAAAACCGTTTGGAGATCACAGTAATGTAGAAAGCCTATGCCTGAGTTTTATCTATACCCATGGAATATAATGTATTTATGGTATTTTGCAAGTATCAAGCAGTTTAGTGGAGCTTCAGAATTAACTTAAATATTATTTACACCCACTTTCTGGCCTGTTACAGTGTCATTGTAAACAAAATTCAAGTGTATACTTTCTCCTTCACAGATACAGACAGAAATTCTAGTGTGCCAGTTTTTTATGCCAACAAAAATTGTTTGCCTAAGGACAAACCTTGGAGGAATGCAAATTTTCCAGTATCTCCTGATTCTTATCAGGCTGATAGAAATCAGTATCACAAAAATTACTTTTCCTGAGATATTTCTGTGCTTCTTTCACAAAAATGTAGGCGTACAAAACTACACCAAAAAAAAAAAAAAGGCATGAAATATTTCTTTTCAAATTTCCCAAGTATTTGTCAAATCTCTGGAAAAGATTTGGGGTTTATCTATGTTCGAGTTTAAGCCCTTGGGTTTCTCCAGATTTGTAGATGCTATCGTTAATACTTAATCAGAGCACAGAACAACACTTTTGCTTTCTTCCATTGTTTTTTGAGAGCTTTGCCTGCTGCAAGTGAAAACATAAAAAAATTAAGAACCAGAAATGAACGTGGAGAAATCTTTGAAAATAAAACTAACACTAATTTAATGCTTTAAATTGTTAAAAATAAGACACATGTAAATGATTTGTTTGTGTTTGTTTAAAGAAGTTCTGTTTAATGTTAATTTAGTGAAATTCGGCTGTTGCATAAACTTCTAGGAATTATTTGAAGATTCTTAGGAAGATTAATTGGTCTTTTTTTTTGGAATGGTACTTGCTTGCTACTTTTTGAAATAAAGTAGAAGAGAATGAGAATACATAAAAATTTGAATCCTTCTCAACCGACAAAAGAAAACACAAAATATAATGCAAAAGTTTTGGCTGATTTGACTAAAAAATGTTTAATCCTGTACAGCTGTGCTGAATTCAAAGTCATGTGGATCCCAAGTACCTTTGTGCACAGCTCAGCCCACGGCAACGTGAGTCAGTTACTACAGAAGCACTCCTGTCATGTTGGGGATATTAGATTCTGGACTGGGCTACGCTCATGCATAGAAATTAAAAAAAAGGGGAGAATTGCTAATTAAATTAGAGGTCACTGGAGGCTTCCTTGTCTTGCCCTGCAAAGGCTGCAAAATACATACCTTTGCTACATATACTGATTATGCATATGTATGCTTGTATCTGTGTTTATATGCATACGTATTAATATATGAATATACACACATACTTAGAATATGTAGTTTTGTAGACTCCAGTAGTGCCTGTGTTACACTATAGCTTCGTATAGAGACAACACAGTTACTCTCCACAGACAACCCAATTCTCCAAACAGGACTTGCTTTAAGCCAAAATTAGGACATTCTCACCCAAAAGGCCATATCTATTGCCAGAAGCTGCCCTCCCTAAACTCTCTGTCTGTGCACAAGGGCATGGAGGAGTGGCAGGGACTGCAGAAGGCAGCAGGCTTTTTGGTTTCTGAAAAAATACACTCTGCTGCTGACAGCTCCAGGTTACCCTTCTCCTGATAAAGTGAAAATTCCAAATTGTTCATTAAAGCATTAGTAATCATTACAGTATTACTCTCAAAACAATAAAATACTTTAAATGATAATGAATTTACCATTAAGCAACATGCCTGTGCTAAGAAAATAAATCTGCTGCAAAGCAAGAAACTGAAGCTTCACCTCCAAAATTCTGGGCTTCCCCTGGCCATGTGGCTGTTGTATCTCTCCAGCCATTATTCTTCTTGTGTCCTATTACATCCGTCAGGCCACAGACAGAAAATATATTTCTTTTTTTCTTTTTTTCTCGTGTATATATTGCACTAACCCTACTTTAACATGCTGGTCTAGCTATTAATAAATATTCCACAGAACTATTTCCAGAGGAAATTCTTCTTACTTTAGAGTTAAAATCAGGTGCCTACCCTTTTTCCTTTTCCGCTAACAAACTCGAAAAGCAAATGTAAGCAGGAGGCAGATACCAAGCTCAAGATAGATCATTATCTTATGGTTGAACTGTTTTTATTACCAGTGATGTGTGAATCGGTAAGGAATCAACTCATCTTCTCCCTTTTTAGCAAAGACTTTAGGTTTGAGAGTTAAATAAATAAATAAATAAATCGTCTTCACTTACATTTCAGTTATTTTAAACCAAATCTACTTCATTTACAATATAAACTGTGCTGTCATATTTTGAAAAGCTACTTTCTGGCAGAGAAGTAGACCTCTTCTTGTAAAAAAAAAATGTACCAGCAGCAAAGCTGAAGGCTTCGACTGCCTTAAAGTGATTTTTTGATAAAAGAAAGGCTGACACTACTAAAATAAGAGAGAAGATAGTGAGGTGGACTGTGCAGAGGTTCTCTGTGATATGTGGATTGCCTGCCTTATTTCAGGGGCAGAAAGATGAGAACTCATTCATCTTTGTCTGTGAAGCAAGTGGGACAGAGACAGGAGTTTAATCTGAGGTAAATCTAAGCATGTAAGTGAACCAGATTACATCAGCTAAAGGACCAGTTCTACTGTCATTTACACCCAAAAACATATTCAGATGCTTGGGTAGTGGTAATTAATTTTACCAATATTTTTAGTAGGAAACTTTTAAATTCTGTTTTAAAGACATCTAAATAATTTTAAATGGTTTTATGCAAATAAGATCAATTTAAAAACACAGATAATATAAAAGTTTTTAAATTGATGCTCTGCATTGAAGTGCATCTTCTGAAGACAACAGGCTATTTAAAGAAATACATCTTGTACTCAGTGGACAGTCCTGAAGCCTGCTGTAGTAGTTTATCACAGAGATTCCCTGACTTTACACATTGTCTAAGGTATAATGCAGATGCATTGGACTAACTCTTCATTTCAACTGTATCATTTTAATTCTTATTAGCTCTCTAGATGATACAGGGGCTATAAAGTATTCTGATAGTTACCCTCTTTCTTCTTTTTGGACCACCATTAATCTTCTCAAAGAGTAAATTCTTGGTCTGGAAGAGGGAAAAAAATGCAGCCATCAAATTTATTACACTCTCCTTTTAAAATACTACTTTTGTTGTTAAATATGAGCAAGTTTAGAGGGGTGCATACTTTTATGGGAAAGATAAACCACAAATAAATATTTGGATATTCCTGTTAACATTTTGCAATTCTTCAGGAGCAGTCACAGGCTTATCAACAATTAAAAAACCAGTAATTTTCCACTATGTTGCACTATATTATCATCTGTGTTCAGGCAATAAGCGCTTCAAGTACGTGCTGCTGTAATGATACAGACTGGATGTTCCCCATCATGTGATACATGGTATAAATACATAGATATTAAAAAAAATAAAAAGTAAAAAAAAAAAAGTAAGAGTGGGAGGGAGAGGAAGCAGGAATCCTGCCTCTGGTACATCTTTCTATACATTTGAGGTAACACAAGAACAGGAGCAAAAAATATTTCCTATACAAGGGATTTTCTAATTCCTTTTAAAAACAGCAATCGGTGTCATTCCTACTGTTTTGTTGTCTTTGCTTATTCCCTTCCAGATATCAACACTTCCCAGTGCAAAGTTCTGCTGAAAGGAGTTCAGTGCCAACTCTTCCTTTGTTTAAGTAGTGCCCTCAATAAAGTTTCTAAAAACCATTTGGCCTGTAACATTTTTAATGGCGAACCTTTTAAAAACTGCCAAAAACGTCTTGGCAGAAGAGAAAGTTATGATGATGAGAAAAGAAAAAAAAAAAAAAACCAACACAAAAAAACCCCTCTGACCATAGTTTACATAAGTGTATCCACATATTGTTGTATTTCATACAAGTAGTGAATTCTAATAAAGTCTGGAATAACACACACATGCTCAACACATTTTGTTTCAATTGTGTATTATGAAGAAAAACAAAACCAAACCCTAACCTGAAAATGGAAGGAGAGAAGAATTACATGTATAAAAGCAGAACACTGTATAAACAAGGCCATTAATTCTGCTATAAACAACTGACCTAATGTTGATTACATAAATAGAAAGTGTAATTCTAGCGCAAGACAAATTCACCAAACACTTCTACCCTCTCTGCAGCCTTGATATGAGAAAAAACAAACATTTTCAAGTGTTACAATGAAATCTGCCAAAATCGTCTGTTTTGTACTTCTCATGTTCATTAAACCCCAAATTCACAAGGCCTATCTCTTGCCCAACCTCAGTTATTTTGTCTGAGCTGTGCCAAAAGGGAACAGAGATGAAGTTGGCCAAGGGAGACAATCTTGGCTAGTCATTTATGCAAACTCACTTTGGGAAAACTTAAATTTAACATTTTAAAGAAACCCACGGATGTGTAAATTATTCTCTTTAGGAAACAAAGCACTGCCGAAGACTCTCTTTGTAAACTATTTGACCGTATACTTTTCATGACAGGAAAAATAGTGTTTCTGAAATAAAAAGAATTTCATGACTACGGGAGCTAACATTTCTGTCACTCAGGAAAATTCCTTACAATTGAACTGTTCCTGCTCAGGAAGATCGTATTTTGCTTGGTCTGTTTGGGAATGTTTTAAGACCATAACTACTACTTAAGCATTATGTGGAGCGCAAAGCAAATGAGGTTATGGAGCATAAGCTAATAGCGTGCTTGTAGGGTAATAGCAATCCTGAAAATATGTTCCACTGCGTAAGGGCCTGAGCTCATCAGCCACCAAAATTTGTCTGTGAAGTGCTCACCATTCTCATCCCTCACCTAGGACTCATTAGGAATGAAGACACAGAGTTTCTCCAGTTAAAGATACACCTCTTCTGGAGATGTGCTGCACGTGAATTGCTACTTTCCCCTAACTCCTGGAGCTTCCTTTGCACCCTCCCAGCTAGTTGCGTTAGAGTACTACAGTTGGGATTTGGGTGGAAAAAACTCAGAAGTTAAATTGCTTACAACGAGCTAGCTCATGCCAGAGAGATTTACCCTTAGGTCTTTCAGACTTCACTGAAATTTGTTTAAGTCAGTAAAAGTCAGCAGCTCTGTAATCTGGACCTGCACAATCATTAAGCAAAACTGAAAAGGAAAATTGTATTAGCAAGGTTGCACCCTTTTGGGAGGGCTTTATTTTTCAGTCAATTTACAGTGTTACCAGGAATATCAAGCATGACAATTTCTATTACACCAAACATACTACACTGAATTAAACAATCTGTATTTACTGCCTGAAATTGAAGAGGGGTACCAGACTTATCATAACACATCCTAATAAACACCACTGCCATCCAGGTATTTAAAAATGTCAGTTGGCAAAGAATGATGCACTTAACATTGCTCACTATGACTGAAGTTAGAATACAATGAAATTTATGAGTGACTAGTTTCAGGATTTCATTAGAATTAGGAAGCCAGAGACGGCAATTTCTTTAACAAGGAGTTGAATATTTTTATCCCTGCTTCCCATTTGCTTTCTTTGTACTGTCTTGGATCCTTCCACTGTAGCTGATAAGCAAAACTGGCCTTATTTCTACCCTGAGAGTGAAATATTATCCACTGCTTCAGTAAAAAGAAGTGATGCTGAAAAACATAGTTGCTTTTAATTTTCCACTTGTACTGATACTGGTGTCAGAAAACACAGCTGAACTTCCCTCTTCTTTTTAACCCCTACACATGGTAGTGGTTAACACTTTGGGTTTCAATAAATATACAACTTATATGTAAGTGGGTTTTAGATTTGTATTGTAAATTGGGTGTTGTAAACTATCTTCATGCAAGTCTTTCTGGATGCCAACAGCACTTCTTCAGACCATCTAACGAGTCAAGTTGCAAGATGCAGAAAAGGCAGACTCAAATGGAAAGTCCTTGTCTCCTGCAAGGGAAAGTCTGAACTGAGGGGAAAAAAACCTCCAAAACCTCTATGGCCAGAAATCATAGAAACTAGGGTACACACTAGGGCACACTAGGGTAGAAACCTCCAAAAGTCCCTCATCTTACTATTCCCACTGTCCCCTCTACATTTTCCACATGTAAGGAGAAGAAAAAGTGTCTTCGGGGCTGGGGAGGAGAGTATAAGCTCTGTATCTTGCCCTATAAACAGAGACTCTTCCCCAGACTTCCCACATGCCAGCATATTGATACGTGGAGAGTTCTCCCAAAGACAGGAAAATTCTTCCTCTTTCTTCCCTCTCCTAACCCAGTACACATTTATCATGATTTATGTATTCATATCTTCACATGTATTGGCAGTATTTACACACAACTTTTAGCCTCTACACAGAGTCATACACTTTGCTGTATGAGGCAGCTCCTAGGCTTGTTTTACCTTTATAAAATGTGCGTGCTATTCGCAGGGTACTGCAGAGGTCCCACAGCTTTGCAAGCATGAGAGTCTGTCACCAAAACAAACCAACCAACCTGTTTCTTTCCCATTATTCATGAACAAGCAGGTCTTTTTTTTTTTTTTTTTTCTGACCTGCTAATGTAATTTGGGTTTTACTGTGGTTACGCTAAGGAATGCATGCTGGCTCCTTGAGAGGACAAGTCAGTGGGAACTGTAACACTGCCTCAACTGCTCTGTGGCAGGAAAAGGCAGGGGAGAAGCTCCCCCCGAGAGCCGCGAGCACGCGCCAGCTCGCACGGGTCCAGGAGACACACTGACTCCGAGGGCTTCAGACGGTGGTGACAGCCTAGCGCCTTCACAGCACGCAGGAGTTCGTGGAAACGCAGCCGGGAAACACGCAGCCATTACAGCCCCTGGGGCATTTGGTCCTGGGCTCTTCCACGGCAGAAGCAGGAAGGGGCTGCTGGTGGGCAGAGGGGATTTTGGCGGCTGGGGCAGCGGGAGGATGAGGATGCACGCAGTTACCCGCTGGGCAGCCCAGTTGGCTGCGTCGGTTATTTAAGATCTAATCCAGATGACAGTAAGTGACCTGAAAGATCTGATCTACTTTATCTCTCCTTTGTAAAGTCCCAAACAGCTAATTTTTAGAGCGCTTTTCTGCTCTTGTTTTTCCAGAGAGATAAAAATAACAAGAGCAGCCATAAAACCAAATACCGTTGTATTTATCTTTTTAATGTGTAGTAATACACAATGAGGCGGCAATCGGGGCAATTCTCCTGGATTTCAGCAGAACATTCGCTCATGCACATTACCAGCTGTTTCATCTCTAATTAAAAAGATCTGGAGTTGGCTACGCTGCAGCTAGATATGATTACTGTTTAGTACCTAACAGTCTGGTTTAATCCATGCGTGAGCAGTTTTTTTGCCCTGAATTAGTAGTGATGGATGGAGAAATGAAAAAAGGCCAGTATTCACTAATGATTACCTACCATTTGTTAAGTATATATGTTGCTGATGACAACACAGTATGTACGCTTGATTCTGAAATATTGCTATAGGCCAAAGATTTACAGAAGTGCTTTTATAGTCTTCAGAATGGTATTATGAAAGTAAATTACTTATGAATAATAAGAAAACTAACAGCATTATCTGGCATAAATAAGAAAGTTCACCATCTGGTGTTTTTAAAAGGAAAACCTTTGATGGTAATTACTTAGAATGCAACAAGAGTTTCCAAAATTTGGATTTTTGGCATGATTCTCTCTAGAAATTTAGCACTCACATAAGTAATTAAGACTATAAATCTTACATTGGTTTGATTATGAATGATGAATCATTGTCTCACAATTACAGCAGGAGAAGAGGCTGCCAAACATGTCCATTTATCGATATATGCTTACTGAGCACTGGTTTAGGGCAATCTTAAGTGTTATAACAATGTAAAATGAGATTTCATTATTTGCCTTGGGAGCATAAATTATGATCATTGTTATTGTTTTCCTGGCGCCTGAAGATGGATTTGGGATTGGACATTTAACTGATGCAATCTAAGATTAAGCAGCAGAGCTCTCTTTGGAGCCTCTAGCCTGCAGAAATAGTCTGGCTGGAGTTATTAAAGTCCTTGTACGCTCAAAGCAAGATTTTTGCCCTTAGTGTAGCTCGCTGTATTTATTACACGCAATGTGTAAAATAGGTTTTCAATGTAATATAGTGTACAACCTGAATAGAGGAAGAAGCAGCATCAAGTCCTCCAAAATCCTTAAGCCAGAGAGGATTCCTTAGAGCAAGTTATCTGGACCTAGATTTTTTTAATGTGTTTAGGCACTGCTGCACTCCATTTATTTATTTGGTTTTTTTAGCATCTAAGTAGCTGAACAGTGAATAGTCACTGAGCCTGGATAATCTTTCAAATTAGGGTCCTGTGCTGTTTTGAAATCTTGTGCTAAAATCTGTGCTAATTTTGGTTACTGTTCACTGTAGTTTGAAATGTGGTTTGTTGCGTTTATCAAGCACATGCACAGCTGTCATGCTTTGGGACAGGTAATAAGACAAGGATTTCTACTTTCTATTTTTATGGGCTTTTCATCAATCACAGGCATTATTTCTATATTTTTAAGGGCAAGTTCACCTTTTTGAGAAGTTTGCCTTAAGGTGTTAACTTTTCCAGCAATAAGCACAATATTCTCTCCTTGTGGTTTCATAGTATCCCACACAGCAGACAATACCCAGTTTCACATGCAACAAAAATAAGCAAGAAGCATGTACTCACCCACTTGCCCATGTTGGGATAGTCATGCTCTGGATCAAAAAGGTGTTGGTGCAGCTGGTATAAAAATGCTGTGTCTGGGGTGTTTTCTAGACACCCATCATCAACTGCAAAAGCATGTCAGAAGGCACCAAGTGCTTAGTAGCTTTGAAACACACAATATGTGCCACGTTAATCACCAAGCTTCTTAATGCAATTGTGCAGTTTAAAAAAACCCAAAACATTTAAAGAACCACATGACTGGAAAATATCAGGTATTTTTTTCTTCTGAAAGGAGTTTGTCAGGACATTTTTTTTTTAAAAAAAAACCCCACAACTTAATGAAATTTCAAAACTAAACAAATTTATTTTCCAAGCTCTCCCCCTCCTTTTTGTTTTTCTTTTAAATTAGTGATCGAGCTTGATTTTACATGGAACTGCATGTTATTCTGATTCAGAAGGGATCCTCTCTTCATTTTTAAATGCCCACAGGAAGTTGGAGAAATTGTTTAGGCAACACTTTTGAAGCTCAGATAAAACGACACTGTGAGCAGAGACAGAATTTCCTTCACTGAGTAGCTCTTCATGGAACTACATTTCTGGTTTGCTATTTTGTTCAAAATGGCTGAACATCATTCATGCATCATAAGATCTCATAAAAATGCAGTGTGGCAGAAGTTTTATGCTGAAGACATTTCTGCAGATTGGTACTGGGTCCAGACTGGTACCTGATGGGTCCGGAAGCCTCCTTTAATCACAATGGATGGTTTTGCAGGCGGTGTCACATCAAGGATAGTACCCTTTTAAAAATCAGCTTATAGACTTTTTACCAAAATAAGTAATCTTTAGATTGAACAAAGATTCAGCAACTTGAGGTGAGAGTAGCTCTTTGGATAGAGTGTTCTCCTGGAGTCCAAGTTCCTCTCAGACATACTCAAGGAGATCCTACCACCCAGGGCATGACGCTGGGCATCCAAGCAGCTATGTCTGCCAGAATACAGGCACTCCAGAGGACACACCTGTGGACTTCCCCTTCTGTCTTTGTGTAATCATCACATAAAAAGATTTGCAGATGGATTATCTTTTTCCCTTAGGTGTGGGAAACAGTAAAGACTTGACTTAAAAATGAGTTCATTCAATGATCTGAGGAGGTTATTCTAAGCCCAATTTTCTCTCTTTTCTCCTTAGAATGGGGAAAAAAAATAAAGTTGCCAATAGGAAACAGGGGAAAACTAAACATACTGGTGAAGTAACTTAGAAACCATTAAGGTTAACTACAAGCACTTAAAAATTATTTCAGTCTCAGCAGGAACAGGGTCATCTCAAGAGAGAAGCAGGTGACAACACAAATGTGGTAGCCCTTCTCAGAGCGTCTGTGGCTTCTCGTAGAAAACACAATGGGCAGCTGGACACATGTGTGCCCTCTGCAACTGCTAATCCAAAAGTCTTCAAGCTCAAGTGCTCCAGGCTTATGACTGCTGTGGAATGCACATATGTAGACAGTGACTGGAAAAATTGTTTTCCATTAAGCAAATCCACAGACCTGATTGAGGAAGGCCTCTGGTAATTTGTATGCATAATACAGTCACCACTTGAATTTCCATTTAAGGCTCTGAAAAACATTTTACTCTAATCCTAGTAGATACTATCTTCACTCACAGTGTACCTACGACAGAGCCATTTATCCAAGCAGGCAGCACTTCCCTAAGAATTCCCCCTGTGTTCAGCTCTGACCGTATCAGCTTAGCTAACAACTTTTATTTCACCTAAGAAAGAAAAATTGAAGGGATTTTCAAAGGTATTTCTCTGGATGCCAGGTTTTTAGTTTATTTATCTAATCACTAACAGAAGTCTAATGGGCAAGCACAGAAGGGAGAAAGTCTGTGTGTGTGCTTGTGCCTGTGAGAAAACCTAAACCCATCGTTTGCAACCTGTCAGACAACAGATATATTGAACAAAGTGGAAGATTAGATATTATGTCAGAAGAGATGCAGGCATCATCACCAAACGGGCTATAATCAAAAACAGCAAGGGAGAACTATTCGAAATTCTGTCATATTTTTGAATGAAATGTAAAAACACTGTTTGCAAAACTTTTCTTGACAAATATTTATTTTGTGATCAATTCTAAGCTAGTTAGAACATTTTTAAATAAGAATACAGACAACTGTTTTGCATTATCCAAATAACATAAAAGAAGACTAAACAGAAAAGATTTTGAAAGGATCTCTTAGCTCACAAATAAAAAATGAGAGAAAAATAGAGTGCTCATTCCCAGTTCCAGCTCCCAAGGCAGCCAATGGGTGTTTTACTACTACTTTCAGTACTGGAAGTCATTCCTTGGCTCAGATAACAGGAAAAAGATCAATTCCCTTAGGGTATGTCTATATCATGCACATGGAGTGCTGCTTTAGAGATCCTTTAGGACTAGCCACCCGCATGGCTTGGTATATGTGCAGCTGCAAACTGAGGGATGTACCGGGTGTCTCAGGTACCATATCACTCTGGCACTCCAAGGCTGCACGGCTCCTCTGCCAGAGCGAGCCGGCGTGCAACGTGCTGGGGTACGTCCATGTAGTTCTCCATTTCTTGGCACGGATGCACCCTCAGTGAGCTATAAAGCCACATGGACTGGAGCCAAGGTATCTTAAATATTGACTCATGGTCTGGGTTGGAGATCAGGGCAGACAGTTTCATTCCTCTTGGCACAATGAAAGTCTCTAAAATAAGGGTAAATCTCATCTGTACAGAATGAAAACCTTTTTCAGGGGCCAGCCTAAAAATGAACTCCCTCAGGAACAAGATGTTATCATAGATCTCGCCATCTTCTACTCCGAGGTCAAGATGATTTCTTCCACCTGACCTTCTCTAGCAGTCATATAGTACTACAGAAGGTGCACATATTAGGGGGTGGGGAAAAAAAAAAAAATAATCTCATCTAAACCACCCGATTGCTCAACAGTTCTGCTCCTGGGGTAGAGAATGAAAGAAAATGCCCATTGCTGATCAAGTGTCATACTGCCTAGTACAGCACTGAAAGATGTACAGTGAAGACAGGTGTGAAGGCTATAGCAGAATTACCTGTTTTTCCAATAGGGCAGGGATTTGGAGGGTCAGGATATCCTTGATCTTCGCTAAAATCCTTTGGTACGTTATCTCCTGTCAGCTCAGCCACGATGTTTGGGATATTGCCATAAGGACCCAAGTGCTGGAGACCCTCATGCGCACCACCTAGCAAAGATGATTTACACATGCTGTCTTTTTACAAGATTAAAAGTGTAAGTGCTTTAGTTGCTTCACGTAATCCAGACTTAGGTTTAAAAAATACATATAATTGTTATAGAGACAGATCCAAGTTTAGATTTCAAAAGTCTCTTTTAGAAACATAACCCTGTGACCTAAATCAGATAACTTAGGTAATGAAAAATGAAACTAGGAAACAAAATCAGCCACTTATTATTAATCTTAGGGTTGTTTTTCTCCTTAACTATGTAAGCTATAGGTAAGAAAACGCAAAGAAAAAGGAACATGAGACAGTAATGGAAGTTAATACATTTACTCCACAATCATCTTCAGTCACTGATACTGTTAATAATTGAAGAAGATATGGCAAGACAGCATCACGGCAAGCAAAGTTAATGACACTGCAGAAAGAAATAATAATATTTGCACAGCCTAGAAATACATTAATAAATTAAGTCATGTGAGGGAACCAAGGTATTATAGCAAATTTGCTTGTGTACAGCTAGGAAAATTATTTTTAAATCAAACCATTTCTTAAATGCAAATTTGAGTTTCCTGCAGTAATGGTGAAAAGTGATTAAGAGTCCACATTGTTGATGGGAATTCCTGTGCATGTACACCTACACAGTAGTCATTATGGTATGAAACATCACATTCAGTGACTTTTACACCTTTACTAAATAGACCAGTTCTAGGTGCAGACTTTTATATTTGCCCTGCGGGACTCGGAGCACCATCACCGCAGGGTTACAACAGCGGTGTGCAGCAGGTTTTATAACTCAGTGGGGGAGGACATGATGATGGGCTTCCTGTTCTTAAGCAAGCACACACAGAACTGGTGTGCTACAGCCTTCTTCCATGCATCTCAGCTTGGGCACCTTGCCTTTGACAACTATGGTCTTCCACTAAAAGTTTGGGAACCAAGCTCAGGCCATTCTCTCTATATGCCTCTCTACAAATATTTATCTGCTCCAGATCCTTTCTGCACGCATTACTGGCTGAATGCATCTACAGGCTAAAACCCAGCTGCTCACAGAGTTTTCTGAATACTACTGTACCGTATTCTTTTGAATTTCAGACAAATAAAAACTTGGTTTCAAGCACGTTCTTTTACCCTGCCATGAGACAGCCACCACACAAACTGCAGCAACAGCTAATGTAGTTATTGAGTACCGAGATGGTTGTGTGACAGCAGAGCAACGTTTTTTAAAAAATCTGTATAGTAAGCGATAACAACGTACAGTCAACATATAAACTCCACTAACAATGAATGAGAGGAAAAGAATTTGAATGATTGGAAAATGTGAGTTAAACAGTGAACACAGACACAACTGTTTGGGTAAATAGCATGATCACCAAATTATCACCAAATAGTCTTATTTTCCATTTCTATAATTTTCATAGATCCAAGAAGATTGGAATAAACCTTCTGAACATGAAAGCTGCTCCAGAAGAATCATTCAAGTGCTGCTGTCTCTACAAATAAATTCTACCAGCCAAAATCATCTTTTATATAGCTAGGCATTGTAAGCTAACATAATCACTTTCAAAAATTGCTAACATAAGGCAGTCTTGACAAATTTTGTATTCATTTCTACATTTAGAAATAGTAGTTAGTCAAATTGTCTATATTTTGCAATAATCAGCTGGAAGCTGGCATTATAGTACCAGAAGCAAGTTAGTCTATAAGCATATATATTTCAATTCTATTTGCATGATTCACTAAAATTTAATCAACATGCTAATTTTCCCCCTCAACTACAAATTTCTTATTCTGTAATGCAATGTTGAAGGAAAGTTTTACAGATATGTAACAAACATAAAAGTAGCCTTATAAAAAATTTGCATCTGTGTTATATGAGGTTTCCCCTTCTAGCTGACCATGAGACCTGGTCCTAAAACCAGAATAGCATATACACTATGAACTATTGCACATTTACAGTCAACACAAAGATGATGCCTGTAAGAACTGTATAGATTCAGAATAATGCTATGGTGATGAGGTTAAAAAATGCGTAACATACATTTAATTTAATGTCATTTAATCTAATGTCTAACGTATAGCATAAAATATTCCTTTTGTACTGAGCTCCTTCACATGAAGATTGATTGCATATATGTACTTAAAAGCATCAGGTTATGATTCTGCTGTAAACTACGGAACCACATAATCAATACATGTTTGAACATCCTGTATACAATGTGGTTCACTATGGGACAATCCATCAGATAGAAGCATATCTATGCTTGTATGTGGTGCAGACCTCTTGGCACCAAAGCTCCATCCATAAAGAAAACAGAGGTACTTAGCAGGCTCCAGTGTGCTATATATACACGTAAGTTTAAACCAACTGCCAAGAATTCCCTTGACGGAGTACAAAACAATCTTTTTATATTAATATAAAGGATTGTTTCCTTTAGGTATAAATGTCCAGGATCGTTTAAGGGTTTTTCCTTTCTTTCCAAAAGAGCTGGAGACAATAGCACCTGCTCTGGTGCCATAATTTAGCACACTTGAGTGATTTAATAACATTAGCAAAGCTTATTCCTTATAAACTGTGATAAATAGTGCATTCAGTAAAGACTGCAATAATAAAAATAAAATGCTATGAATATACCAAATAGCGGTATTATGTACAGTAATTCAAAAGCTGCATTAGTTTTGGTATTGTAATGTTACTGATTTGAAGAAACATATTAGGATTAAATACATTGCAGCTACCAAGTCAAAATACTGTGATGCAAACACATACAGTCAGCTACAAAAATAGCACAAGATGGGTCTCTTGAACCTTGAGGCAGAGACTGAAAGAAAAAGACAAGGCTACTAAATATCGAGGAACTTTTTGTAATTTCCTGTCCAGGGGAAGCATGTGGGACCCACTGTTAAATTACGTGAAACTGGACCAGGAAAAATCCAGAAGAACAGCACAGAGAACACCCTTGTACTGAGAAAGGAGGGGCTAGATAAATCTACATTTTTCCCATCTCTCCTTACTTCTTGTATGAACTGGCTTTTGTGTACCACATACTAGCAAAAAAACCCTACTCCAAAACAATGAGCTCCCTTTCATGTGCAGGGTTTCTGTGTGAGCGTGTAGTTATTTCACATCCCTACAGGATAAAGTAGAAGTTTAGGTCTTTTGGACTGAAGTCAGTATTGTCATAAGCAAGCTTTGGATTTCATTTAAAATATATGCATATATGTAACCATCTTCTGGTACTGGTCTTAAACTGTTCCAGGGTGGAAAACAAAAATGGAACAATGCCTCTCCCCTTTCCTGGAAAAGTCTTTAATCATCTCGCCAACTGCTGGTATCATCTCAATTAGAGATACTTGGAATGACTAAAAATTTAAAGAGCACACATTTTAGCTCATTTCTTTGTAGGAGCAATACTGTCTCTATGGGTAGGAGGACAACACAAGCACTCCATTCTTGGAGAAAAAAAAAAAAAAAAGAAGAAAAAGAAAGGAAAAGAAAACACAAAGAGCAACTAGTTTCCTGCCAGTATTCAATACTTCCCTAATCAAACACATCCAATGGAGCAGGTTTGCGGGCAGGACTTGTGACCCTGTGGGGGACCCATGCAGGAGCAGTCTGCTCCTGAAGGACTGCACCCCGTGGAAGGGACCCACGCTGGAGCAGTTTGTGAAGAACTGCAAGCCGTGGGAAGGACCCACGTTGGAGAAGTTCGTGGAGGACTGTCTCCCGTGGGTGGGACCCCACGCTGGAGCAGGGGAAGAGTGTGAGGAGCCCTCCCCTGAGGAGGAAGGAGCGGCAGAGACAACCTGTGATGAATGGACCGCAACCCCCATTCCCTGTCCCCCTGCGCTGCTTGGGGGGAGGAGGCAGAGAAAATGGGGAGTAAAGTTGAGCCTGGGAAGAAGGCAGGGGTGGGGGGAAGGTGTTTTAAGATTTGGTCTTATTTCTCATTACCCTACACATGTTCTCAGTCCTCTCTCCCACTCTGATTTGACTGGTAATAAATTAAACTGATTTTCCCCAAGTTGAGTCTGTTTTGCCCGTGACGGTAATTGCTGAGTGATCTCCCTGTCCTTATATAGACCCACAATCTTTTTCATTATATCTTCTCACCCCTATCCAGTTGAGAAGGGGAGTGATAGAGAGGCTTTGGTGGGCACTTGGCATCCAGCCAGGGTCAACCCACCACAGTAAGTCAGTGAGAATGGATTTTCAAAAGCGTTAAAATGATTGCAGAACATTTAAAGTCAAACAATGGGACAAATTTGCCTTTCAGTCTCATTGGAACAGTTTCCCACGTCACAGTGTAGATAGGGTTACCCCACTTCCAAATTCAGAAAAGAGGTGGTTTGGCCAATCTTAGCAAGGAGATACAAAAAATAGAATGGCTCACGAGTATCTGTTGTGAGTAAATAAATCCCAGATCCCAGATTAAAGCCCTTTACTTAGAAAGTCATGCTAGGTGCCCTAATTTTCATGTTTTTGCTCTCAAACATCATGAAGCAGGTTCTTAAAGTCTCCAAGCCCTTCCCAGATGCACAGAGAAATACCCTGCCTCGAGTAAGAATTGCACCTCTTACGATCTTGAGCTGTACAAACTCCAAGCAAATATGAGCTGCAAAGGAAGCCTGGTACACCTTATCCCATTTGTGCAAGATTCTTGAGGGAGTAAATAGATATTAATCAGAGATGCAACACCATCTTTGCTACTTTGCAAGATCTTTTGTTAATCTAGACTATTAGCTCTTATCACCGGGAAATCTTCAAAATTATTTCCAGTGTGTCCTCTTGAATAGAGAACATAGCTCTTTTTCCTTTCACTGTGACAGCTTTCCATACTACCCTGCACTTCCTTCCCCAGTCACCTTGCAGTATCTGCCTTTGTGTCGCTGTCACATTCAAAAGTGATGTCTCATCCCTAATCACAGGCAAGTTTGGCAGAGTGCTTTCTGGTGCTCTTGTATCTTAAAGTGGGACACCATCCACTAACTTCCTTTTTCCTTT